AGGATTTTGTGACCTGGTCATAGAAGGCCACCAGGTTGGTCTGACAGGACCTGCCTCTAATGAACACGTGTTGGTTGCCTCTAAACATAATCTCTCCAGCTGGCCCCTCGTGGACATGCGCCAGGATAATTCTCTCAAAAAGCTTACCCAGGATCAAGGTAAGACTAACTGGCCTATAGTTTCCTGGGTCTTCCCTCCTCCCTTTTTTGAAAATGGGAACCACATTGGCCCTTTTCCAGTCCTCTGGCACCACACCAGAGCACCACAAGTGCTTGTAAAGCCATGCCAGAGGTCCTGCACTGACCTCTGCTAATTCCCTCAGCACTCTGGGGTGGAGATCATCCAGACCAGCTGATTTAAATATGTCCAGTCCCTCCAGAAGTTTCCTGACTGGTTCCTCACTGACCCTAGGCCTGGGTACACCTCTCCTGGTGCCTACATGGGTCCTGGTGTGGGGGTGGCATGACCTGCTCAGAAAAATGGAGGCAAAGAAATTAAATAGGTTAGCTTTGTCATCTGGTGCAACGACCAGATTTCCTAGCGTGTCTTGCAGAGGGCCCACATTACCCGGTACCTTCTTTTTACTCCCTGTTTAAAAAAGGACTTCTTGTTGTCCTTGATCTGGGTAGCTAGTCCCAGTTCCATCTCTGCCTTGGCCTTCCTGAGCGCCCCCCTACAGCCCCAAGCAACCTAGGTATAGTCCTCCCTGGTGATAGCCCCTCCCTTCCATTGGGTGTACACCTGCTTTTTAGCTAGGAGACATTCCTGTATGCTTCTGGTGAGCCATGGGGCTTTTGCACCCTCTTGCCCACTTTGATCTGTGTTGGGATTACCTCCCTTTGGGCTTGGAGGATCGTCTCCTTAAGGAACGACCACTCTTCTTGGACACCTGACTCCTCTCCCCTCCGGGACCTCAGTGCTTCCCTGACTATTCTTCTTACCTAATTGAAGTCTGCCCTCCTGAAGTCCAGGGCTGCTGCCTTTTCGGAGAAGGCTACTGAACTTTGGACCTATGTCTCCACATTGAGAACACTGAAGTCTTCTATCAGTCTGCTCCAGCCCCAGATTACCCCTCTCCCCAAATTACTATGGAGAGAAAGACCCTGGTGATAGTCGAGTACTTCCCTTACCTCAGTTGCCACCTCTCTCAGACAGTGAACATCAATGAAGAGATCCAGCATAGGATCCCGTGCACAGGTGCCTCCTGTGGGAAATTGCTTTAGTGTCTTTATTCATCATGATCTCTGGAAAGACACCAAGATCCAGGTCTACAATTCTGTCATCTTCCCAACCCTTGCCTACAGATGTGAAAAGTAGGTGACCTATCATTGTCGTCTCAAGAGCCTAGAGAGATATCACCAATGATGCCTCTGGAAAATCCACCATATCAAATGGGAAGATTGCTGCACAAATGCCAGCAGAGGATCTTTCCTGAAGTCAATGTTACTAGCATTGAGTCAGTGAGCCTCAAGCACCAACTTCACTGGACGGGACATTGCATGCAGATGCCTGACTCCATTCCCAAAACAAGTGCTCTACCTTCAGCTTATGGCCTGAGATCTCGCAGTGGCCAAAGGAACTGCTACGAGGACGCATTGAAGGCATATCTCAAGAAACCATATTCTAACATGAAGAGCTGGGAGGACCTGGCTGCCAACTGAATCCAACAGTCCTGTAACCTGAACCAAGGGGTAGTCTCATTTCAAGGTAATCATCTTGCCCTCAAAGACAAGAAGAGTGAGCAGAGGAAGGAAAAGGTGAGGAATTTCAGCCTGCAGCCTACTCTCCTCTGTGGAAAGACTTGCAACTTCTGTGACTCAAGGATTAGACCCTTAAGTCATCTCAAGATCCATCAATGAGCCATGATGGAGATCATCCCTAAATTGAGGGGTTGCCAGCAATGGTGATATAATTGTAACATGTAACCTCACCCCTAAGTGCTGTAAATTCAATGAAGCAGCTGAGCGTCTTAAGAATTGGTGCTTTGGATTTATGTTGGTGCCCTTGAGAGAAAAAAGTGGATACAAATTGTGACAGTTGGCAAAGGTCTGTAGAGCCAGGGAGGAGGAGTAATACTTAAGATGTGAGATGATGAGGACCTGAACTAAGGATTTGGCTGTATGGAGAGAAAGGCCTGGACTTTATGGTGCTGATTCCCTTTACGTTTTGGTCTGCTGAAAATGTGAGTTGTCCCATTGTTTCCTGTATTGTCCAAATGAGAGGTGGTACTATCACCTAACTTGGAGGTCTTCAAGAGGAGCCTAGATAGGCACCTGGCTGGGGTCGTCTGACCTCGGCCCTCTTTGCCTGGGGCAGGGGGTCAGACACAATGATCCTTCATGGTCCCTTCTGACTCTGCAATCTATGAATCTATAAAATGCATATGTATATAGCAATTACAAGAAAAGCATTATTTTCAGAAGACCTTGCTGACTTCTGAGACCTGGATTGGCCTTCTTTCTCTGTCCTCTGGTAATTTTCCATAAGTTGTACCACAGACTGCAAGTTACTGTCTCCAAAAGATATGTGGTCTCACACTTAGAGAGATATTTATTACAAATGCTTGGTTAGCAGGCTAGAAAAATGTCATCACATAGGTTTACTTTAATCAGCAAGTTTACCGTTTTCCTACCATATACCTCAAATGCTGATCTTTATGATATGCGTTTCTTTGCTCAGGTTTTAAAGATGGGGCCTAAGCAGACCCGAACCACTTGATTTTCCAATCTAAGGGTGCAAGATTTCAAGAAAAAGATGCTTTTTAACTGCCAAAGGAGCATGTCTCCTATTAAGAGCATTGAGGGGGTCTGCAGATAGAAACCAAAATTTACAATCCTTTTATTTGCAGAGGCTTCTGCTTGTTACAGAAATTACTGAGAGTTATTCATGTGAACCTCATAGGTATTTTTCGAAAATGATTTTAAAATAGGTAATCACATGTTCAATCTTTGTTAGCACAAGATACATTAAAAAAGCACGCAAGCTGGGTATGCAGTTTTGATTAATGCTTTCAGGGTTTGTTTGGGGGTTTTTTTACACCTACAGGTATGTAGAATGGATGTTTCACACAGAAATACTAATTCCTCTTATATTCTACCAGGACACTGGAGATCTGTTTTGAAACACTGAGTGGTATTTGTCTTTCACTCTCCCTGTTTTATATTCAAAGGACTTCTAATTCAGCTCTGACGGGCTCATTTCAAATGCTTCAGTGCAGAGAAGGACGCATGGGCTGCAGAAACACTTTGAGCAAAACTTGCATGTGCAGAAGGCTTCTGATGTTATGCAGCTAGTGCAGTTAGTTTAGTTATGATGGGCAGGACAGGGATGAAGTCAGGATTTGCTGAGTTTACAGAGTGGTCCACATATTCCACAGTGCTAAGCTCCCTCTGGGCTCTCCAAGCACTTATCAACATAATAAAGCAGCCTGAAGGAATAGAGAGGACAAAACCTATGAATGCATCAATGCTTTGATGCTGTTCCCTCCCAGGGAAAGGTATGGCAGTGGCTTCGTTACTGCTCCACACTGTGGGGTAAGTAGTCTTTCCTTGATGTAATTTGGTAGGAAGGACAAAAATTTTCCCGTTGAAAGCACTAGAGATGTTCACGTCATGGTTTGTTCCTGTCATGCACACAGTAGAAAAACAAAAATCAAATTGACCTAATTGGCACCTCCATTTAGATAATAGCTTGCCTAAGACGAGGCACCTAGGCCTAGGAGGTTAATCCAAATTGATAAGGTTAGACAGAAGCAGGGACCAAACTCAGTTTTTCCCTGTCCCAGGAGAATATACTCATCACTGATCTACAGAAGCATGCTTCCTCTTGCTTGCTTTCCTTCTGGCCTCCATTTTTGGACTCTTAGCTGCCAATTGGCCATCTTCAACAGAGGGATGGAGGGCACTCCTCTCCAACTTGTTCTACAGCCTTGTAGTTAAGCATATAGGGGAAGAAGAAACATGTGTTTAAATGCCATTAGGATGAGGAGGTCCTGAAACACAAGGTGCCTGTGGGTGGGGAGTGAGGGGCAATGGCATGGGCAGGGCACAGACATATCAGAGCTGCTCAGCACCACAAAGCGGGAGCGGCCACAGCTGGACCAACATCCCGGTGACCAAAGTGTTCTGGAAGAGTACCAAAATAAACCACCAAAATGTAAAGGTATTTAGAATTTATTTTATTATAGTTATTGAGGCACTGGTAGGCTTCCAAATTGCTTTAAAACTATAAATATATCAGTAAAATAACTGATACCTATATATATAGCAGTGTTTCATTTTAATCATGGGAAAACATGGATTTTGGGGTTTTTTAATCAGAGAATTTGCAATTTTTAAACAGAAAAGACTAGGATACCTGGTGCTTATCCAGCTCCCATATGGATTGAAGTGGAGTTTAGATAGGAGCTAGGAGTTTAGGAATTCAAACTGGATCACTTCTGAGCATGGGGAGAAGCCCAAATTTAGATGGCTATGGATTTTTTTTCAGGGCAAAATGGAGGCACCAAAATAATTAATTATTTTAGCTGTCTAAATGGTTTTGCAGCCAGTGGAGCCAACTGGATCTGGGTCACTTTTTGTGGCTTGTGTATTTATATTCTGTCCAAGTCCTACTTAGGCATCCTGTTGTCCAGTTTGACTCTGGCATTCAAGAATATGCAATTACCACTCCTCTACTTCATCATGTTTCAAAAGCTGCTTCTAGTAGTTTAGCATGTATCTGATTTGCAAGGTTTTACTGGTTTATTATAACCAACAGGAAGATCACAGTCCTTTAAGTGGCTTTTTACTGTAGTTAATTCAGAATTACTTAATGCAAATAGTTAGATATTTTTTTCTCTTTTTTTTTTGGTTTCAAGTGATTGAACTCTAATTCAAATGAGCTCTTCACTTAGTTTCTCAGTTTATCTCCACATCAGATAAATGCTTCCTCCCCACCCATCAGTTGGTCATTGATTTTTTAACTTCTTTCTAAAAGTTAAATATCTTAGTTATTAATCATAGAACAGAACATACTGATTCTTCTCCCTTTAGAGGTTAAAGGCAGTTCACAGGATACCTTAAAATATTTCCACTTTTTTTGTTTCCACTGAATGCAAGGAAAATGTGGCACTGACTTCATTAAAGAAAAAGAATAAAATAAAAGCAGAGGCAATTTTCATAAATTGGATTTCACAGCACAGAAATAAAGATGTCAAACATGTCCAGCTTGTACTTGTACAGCGCTCCTACACAGAAACCACAAGATTTCAGTGATAAGTCACTGAAACCACAGCATTCAGCTCTTTATCCAGGAGTACCATTACCCAACGGGTGCCATCACTTCAATGCAGTGTCTGATCACACAATAGTTTTTCCAAGGTTCGTTTAAAATGCTGATCTGTGAAAAAAATGAAACTTATTATGCAAAGCAACGGTGCTATATATACACATACAGAGATGCACACTCACATGTACGTTGACTTTTAAAGAGAGAAGATTTTTTCCATGGATGCAACACAGATTTTGCCTTTTTAAACTCATGTAATTTTGGAGGTCCTTTAACCATGTTTAAAATGTTCCCTAAACTGCCACAACCAATGAAATACAGGGTAAATTTACAGTAGCATAACTAGAGCAAGGCAACTGTGGCAGCAGCCTTGGGCACTGACCTGGGGAGCAGAGGAAGAGGGGGACCAGAAAAAGATCACATGTCACCAGACCTGAACAATCACGCTGAAGGCAAAGTAACAGCTGGCAGTCGCTGCTGCCGCAATGCATCCCCCCTGCCCTGGGTGCCCTTCTGATTATTTATATGTAAAAGCTGCCTTAACTCTAGTTATACCTATAAAGATGTTGCTAGACTGGAAACAGCATAACTATACAAATATACAGAAACATTACAGGGTAGAATTAGATCATTAAGTCTTTAGTAGTATAATGATATAGGGGGAAAAAAGAACAGTCTGAACTGACATCATGATAAGATAAGACTTTTATGAAGCTGACATGAGAACAAGGCCTTTTTCCTATACCTTCTTTCTTAATGAGTAGTTTTAGCAAAATGTCCAGGATCCAGTTCTACTTTCTCATGCAACTGTTAAATTTTAACAATGTAAATAAAATGTTTTTTTATTTGTACCTGTGGGAAAGGAGAATTGGCTCCTGAAATTTTAACAGAATCTACAGCCATTGGAAGTATTGCCATGTCTGGCAAATTCCACTGGAAAGTTTTTAAAATAAACATAAACTGAAGTGTTTATAACTTAAAGTCTGCCTAATTCCGCTAATACCTGAGAACCAGCATGAAACCCATTAGAAATAAAAGTGATATTCACTCAGTCCCTTTCACTGAGACATGCAAAATATAAATCAACTCCATAATGAACAGTGAGAAAGGATCATAGAAATCACAGAAAATGTTAAACTTTAAATATATATTTACCTGTAAATAATCCATAGTACATTGGTAATAAAGTGATTTCCAAAATATTTGTAACATAACATTTTTCCCTTTTACCCTACTTATGGTGAAGGATTTCACAACTATGAACGCTTTAATACAATGCTTACCAGCCTGCCATGCAAGGCATCGTATAGAAAAAATATGCCAGCCTGTACAGTGTTTTGTATATACTCTGTTTCTGATGCAAAACCCAGTGGAGTTAATGGAAAGATGCCAGGGAATTCACTGGACTCCAGATCAGGTCCAAAAAAAGGTGGCGTGTCAGGTTTGGTCTTAAAGTTTTTTAGCTTGGATTACTTTCAAGATTTCAGAATTTTAGTGAGAAGAGTATCTTGCATTCAAGATTGTCTAAATTTGTCCCAAATACATAGTTGGTCCAACAAAAATTTCACCCAAGAAATCCTTGCCTTTTAGGATTTTAGCATTTTTACCTAGGAATAAATTTTCTGAAAATATAGTTTCCATTGTTTCTTATCATTCCATTTTGTTCTGCTTCCTCCATTCACAATATATTACCCTCTCAATTTAAGATGAACATTTTAAAAGCATATTTTGCTTCACTTTAAAACCAACCTTTTAAAGGCATACTTTGTCTTCTCTGTTTAATAACTAGGGATCCAGGTTTTCCGTTTGCTGTGGAAAAATGTGGATTTTCTCCTTTAAAAGAAAAACAAATCACAGATTTTCTCCTTTAAAGGAGAAAAACCCAGGAAACAGCAGGTATTCCCTTGCAGGCTAGCAGAGTTCCAGCCTGCAAGGGGCTGCTTGAGGCTGGAGGGAGCAGGACACAGGGGACAGGGGGCGCCGTGTGCAGGCATGGGTGCAAACCAAGCAGCTCCCGCAGCTCCCTCCAGGTATGCCTGTGGGGTGGAAGAGAGCACAGGTGACACGTTGGGGGGCAGGGGAACACAGGCAACATGGTGGTGGGACTTAAGTGACACTTCAGGGGGATGGGGGAACATAGGCGATAGGGTGGCAGGGGCACAGATGACATGACGGGGGCACGTGCCCCCTCAGATTTCAGCACCCACAGCAGGGTATAGGATGTGGGGCTGCAGTCTGGTAGGGCCAACTTGCAGAAGGGAGTGTGCTGCCATGACTGTCAAGGTGAGGTACCCCCTGCCTGCTTGGCAGCATCAGGGGCACAACTCCACCCTGCCACCACACTTTGCCATAGTGGCACGGCACTCCCTCCCATGCTGGGTCCCCCCTACTGGGCTGCAGAGGCAGCTCCTGCCCAGAGCTGGTCTCACCAAGTTGTAGCCCTGCACCCCTTACCCCAATGTGGTCACAGAAATCTGGGAGGGTATGTGCCCCTCTCCACCCTCCCCATGTGTTGCCAGTGCCCACACACCCTGTTTCCACCCACCTTACACACTGGGAGTGGTGGCAGGGGGTAGTGGGTCAGGAGTGTGGGGCACCTGCAGGGCTGGGGGCGCTGTGGCTTGGGAGTGAGGGGCAATGGCATAAGCAGGAGCAGGGCACATGTCAAGCGTGGTCAGCGCCACAAAGCAGCAAGGGGTACAACCACAGCTAGACCTGCAATCTGGTGAGTGAAGGGGACAGGGAGAACTCTGATTTGTTATGATCAAAAAACAAAATCAAATGTTAAAATGTATATGTATTTAGAATTTATTTTATTATAATGATTGAGGCACTGGTCGGCTTCCAAACTCCTTTAAAACTGTAAATATATCAAGAAAGCATTGTGTTCAACTGATACCTATATATATATATATATATAGTGGCGTTTCATTTTACTCATGAAAAAATGTGGATCTGGGGGTTTTAAATCAGAGAATTTGGGGGGGGGGGGTTAAACAGAGAAAACCAGGATCCCTGTAAATAACACATCAAGAGTTATGTCCCAATAATATCACCTCACTATTCTTTGCAATGGCTGGAGTTGTTGGTATTTGTTAGTTGTTAAACCATGATGAGAAATATACTATGAAATGGTTGGCTACAATCACTAAGGACTGGATTCAGTGATCCTTCTACTCGTGTGTTCCTACATGTAGAGAGAAAAGTGGGACATGTATGTCATTTGGGAATTTTGAGGCTATTCCAGGCCTAAGAAAGCTGTTCCAAAACTGAAGCAAAATGGAACAGTAAGAAGAGAAGATATGGAGGAATGCAGAGGAGCTGTAGGAGGAGAGAAAAGAAAGGTTGTGGGAACTTCAAGGTGTTCATTACAGCTAATTTATGTACTTGTTCTCAGTCCTGCAAATGCACATATGCATGTTACTGTTGACTACAGTGGGATTACTTTTACCTGTGTGTATTGGACCCAAAGCCTGTAAGAGGCTCTGGTCTCTTAAAGGGTAAAGGATACTTTATATGTAAATTGTTATTATGACTAATTACCATAATAACAAACTTTTTGGTTGATAAAACTAAATATAATGCAGCACATAACAAACATCTTCATTTAACATCTAAGAATAGAAGTGTATCATTTTTAATGTACGTGAAATTACTGTTAATATTAAAGTGCTTTAGCTTATAAATAAAGTCATGGTGCATACCTGTGCTAAGCAGATTGATATTGGGATAATAGGGTTATACATAAAGCAAATGTTTATCACCAAACAGGAGCATTTCCAAAAGTCTTTATATTTGTTTGACATCCCCAGTAGGTCCACAGTTCTCACTGTTACATTAAATAAAGTAACAAGGTTGTGACCCAAAAAAGTTCAATTCAGAATGATGTAGCCTGTGTAAAAGATCAAAATATGTTTCTGCCTGAAAAGGAAGGTCACTTTTACATCTGCCATGTTGCTATTATTTTTCCATTGCCTATTTTTTCCATGGCAGCGTAGCTTAAGCCTAACTGTCAAGTAGAACCACAGAGTATAATGCAAATGTAAATGATTCTCACCACTGCAAGTGTTAAGATTATTATTTTCAAATATGGTAATAGTTATAACTGTATGAAATGGCTGACTCAAAGTGCAAGAGCATCTATAGTATCAGCCTTTGTACAAGTTCAGCCTGGGTTTATGAAGCAGCAGTAGACTGTTAGAACTTTTCCAAAGGCTATTGAAGCCAGTGGGATTGTCAGTAATTTTTTGAAAAGCTCCTAGTTGTCTATGTTGCAAGGAGATTTGACTCTGAAAGTTGAGAGGGTACAAATTCTAAACCTTTTTAAACTCAAGACCTGCAAGTTAGTTTTCCTCCAGTTGGCTGTATCCCCATATTAAAAAATACCTTGCCTCAAATCCAGGGACCAAAAGTATTTCAGTATTAAAAGTATTTCAGTGTGTACTGTAGATTTTTTTTGAAGCTGCCTTTTGTGGAGTTTTTTCCTCATATGAGCCTGGTTTGTTGGGCTCAGTATCATAGTAGAAGTATTACTGTATTTCTCCTCAAAATTCAAACTAAAATGGCATAGCCTATTCTGTGTAATTATTAGGATCAGCATCTTCAAAAGGAGAGAGGAGGGGAGAGCAAAACTGTTACAGAGGGAATTGCATTTATTTTACTGATATTTTAACTTATTTTGTTTTGGGATGCAGGTATGTATGTACGTATATATATACATACATATATGTGCACATTTTATTCTTTTTCCTTATTCTTCCGTTAATGGAAAGTGTCTGATTTAATATTCTGCTTGACATAATTTTCTTACAGTCTTATAAGGGGACTTTTCTGTGATATAAGTAGTTTGGTTTCAGTCTGATGCATGAAGTCTTATTTCAGGACAGAGGCAAAATATTCTCCTTTATAGTTGTTCTATTTACTTGGGTAATTCCTTCAATCACTGCTTGGGAACTGTTGCATTGTCCAGTGGTAGTCAGTTTTCAGTGGTGATGAGGCTATAACATAACTCTGGAGCAGTCAGAAATATTGGTGGTGCAAAACAAGAAGATACAGCACACTATCAAGGGACCTTAGCTAAACCTAAAAAAAAAAAAGGTAGAGAGAAGGGA